TAGAGAGCTAAGCTCTCGGCTACGTAGCTATCTATATACAATGCTGGTTGCTAGGGTAACAATCAGGCCGGGCAGGTGGAGTAAACGAGGTCGTAGACGAGTATGGGAGGCGAAGGGCGTTTAGCCCGTTACACCTAGCGTTGTATAAGTAAGCAACTAATAAGCAACGTTAAAGATCTAAGTAGTTGCTTACTTAATAGTGTTGTTAACTTCACTATTTATGTAGAAACGTAAGGCGTTAACCTAGCTATTAGCTTATATCCTATAATTAGCTATTATATAAAAAGACTTAAGGAAGTAACTATAATAAGAGAAAAGTTAAAGCTAAAGGGATAGAGGAAATAAGCAGTAGGTAGAGGAAGAAGAGTATTTATGCTCGCTAGACAGCGTTTGCTATATAGCACTATTGCCTAACTCTCTCTTACCTTTACTATTTGCCTTTACTTCAACTATATAAGACGCCAAATATGTAATAGTAAATAGATAGAGAGAAAGGAAAAGAAGACTAAAGAATACGCACGTGATATTAGACAAGGTGAAGAAGGGGAGTATTATAAAGGGCTACGCTAGAGAGGTATAACCTATAGGTTATATAGTAGTAAATTATATAACTTTAGTTACGTAACTAAATAACGTAGTTAGCTACGTATAAATAAGCTTAAGTAAGAAAGAAGACTAAAGGTCTAAGTGTTTGTACCAGTAATAACTATAAAAGGAGGGCCCTTTAGATAGTTCTTTTCTATATCTTTCTTCTTCTATATAATAGGTGAATGCATACTTGTTAGTTAGGCCTCTCTCACCTATAAAAATATATATTATATAAATTTTCTTTCTCTATATTTTTATATATATTTCTATATCTAGCCAATTACTAAGTAAAAAGTAAGTCTACTATGCTAAACTACTAGATCTTAACTTTTTAAATTACTACTTTACTTATTTTTAGCCATTTTATTAGCTAAGATATTGTCAGACTGTGAGGGGTTTCTGATCAAGGACTGTTTTTGGGTCACTGTGATAAAAGACTGTGATAAACTTAAGTATAGAAACTGAGTGTATTGAGTTGTTGTGTGTTCTGTCGTCTGTAGGGGCGCGAGGGCGCGCCCCTTATGAGAGCTATCGCTATTGCTTTTTGTATTAGGTAGGCCGCTAAGTATCAGCCTCGCCTAGGGTTAGGTCTTGGCGATCAGCCCTGATTGGTTGGGATCACAGAATCCTGGTGCTCGAGTCCGCACCCGGATTCTGCCACTTATCTGACAGATATATTAGATTTAAAACTAGCGTTTTTTCTATCACGTTTTTTTACTGTCACCCCTCTGTATTAGACCCACCTAATTACAGCATCTAGTCGACATCACTATATGGCAACACGTTATATTTTGTGTAACTTTATGTGGCAGAAGAATTACCTGTCCATCGCCACATATTTTCGTTCGGTTGAATACATATATGAGTATGACGGCTATCTATCCCTCGTTTCTTTCCACGCTCTTCTCATCAATTTCTTGGTGTGTGCTGTACTGAGATACGGTCGTGACTGTCTTGTGGAGGGCAATGAGCTTTCAAAAGTGGCCACAGCTACTATATCTTACGCTGAAACTAATGTAGCTTACTCCCATCTCAGATGAAGGAGGCACGATGATGACATCATCCAACAAGGTGTGTCAGATACACGTCTCTGTATTTCTACTAAGCCTTGAGAAGTTTCTTCATTGATACTCTTAGGGAGCTCTTTGAGAAGCAGAGACATTATAATGGCTCAATGTCAAAGGAGCGCAGGATGTCAAACATTTGATCAAGATCTTAGGGTAGTAACTATATTCGTAGAACAAATACCTATGAATACCGAATAATCATGAATAAGAATTCTCAAATGGTAATTAAATCTATATACGTAACTAAAAGCAAACAGACTAATACAAAAGCAAATAAACAATCTATCTTAACTCAACTTTTGTGTTCAAATGTAAACTCGCGGAACAGATATCATCTAGACTTCCGCCTCCCTCAAGATCCTTGGATAATCCGGTGCTCCGGGCGCATCCATCATCTCAACCAATGTCGCAATTGCAGGGTGCAAGCCCGCAGCAACCGCCTTCGACAACCACTCTCCCATAGGCAACACGGCAAACTCTTTGCCTTCTTCCCGTCCAATTTCTTTGAGGTTGTTCATCGGAAGAACAATATCGCCAACCTGATGTGCGTATCTGACCTCCTTCTTCGCCTTCTCGCTTCCATCCAATACGCGTGAAAGAATGGACTCGCATGCAGTGCTGATGCGTACCAGGTCCAGAGCACCAGTGTTGTTCTTGACTTCGGGAACAGCTTCGATGGCGCGGGACCATTGAAGGAGGGCGTTTACCCAGTCGAGTTGAGCACGCATGCCAGTCGCATCAGAGCCCTCGCGCAGAATGGTCGAGGGACGGTGAATGCAGACTGGGAGGCCGTATAGGTCATGGACTTGCTCCAGGAGACGCTCGTTAGTCCACTTGCTGCTCATGTAGCCGAAGACACCGTCGGTGGTTGGGTAAGAGTGCTCGCGGCCTGTCATGCGAACAGGTGGGAAGGCTGGTCCCTTGAACAAGACTGCGAGACCGGCAGATGATACGTAGTGGATCGGGATGCGGCGAGGTAGACACAGTCGAATCAGAGTCTGCGTGGATCCTACGTTGGAGTGACGGAGATCTTGGAAGTACTTGAGATGAGAGGTGTCAGCTCCATTGTGGATTACCACGTCAGCTTTGGCGAATATCTCAGCAGACTTCTCGAGTGAGAGACCAAGAAGTGGATCGGCGAGCTGGCCTTCGAAGTACTCGACACGCTCGTCGGTGCGAAGCTCATTTTTGGCTAACTTATTAGATAGGCGGCGGACGGCAGGGCAGTAAACTTTTGTGACTGATGGGCATTCCAGCAGGTAGTCTAGCAGGTGGTGACCCAGGAGACCACTCGATCCAGTAAGAACAACCACCTTGGGTGGTGTGACTGGACTCGGTCCGGAGATGCTTGAGACCTGAACCAAGTCACGTGGAGGACGCGCCTCGGCCTCCCAGTCAATGGTGCCGTTGTTCGACAGCTTGAGGATATTGTCGGCTCCAAAGGCTCGCTCCGGAAGTGGTGTGGTTGATGCCGTTGGGATCTGAGAGGCACTGCGAGTCATGGGAATGCCCTCGTCACTTGAGTTGTCCATACCAGTACTGCCGTCGTCACTGCTGCTCTCCTCAGTAATGATAATAGGGTGGCATAGGGGCATCAACTCCGGAGGAACATTGTCAACCGCATATTGCACAATGTTCGACATGGTTTCGTCGCCCATGATCTTCAGCACCGGGATGCTAACTTGAATGTTCTTGAGGAACCACGTTCGGATGTCGACAGAGACAAGAGAGTCAAGACCAATCTCCACACTGCGTGCGACCAAGAGATCTTCATCAGACATGTTCATTTGAAGAGCATGGCGCAGCTGAGCTGTGAACGCCTTCTCAATGACCTTGCGAGCGTCATCCTTTGTTGCGCAAACTTGCAGAAGCTCCAGGATGGACGCGGTTGCCTTGCCCTCGCTCTTGACCAGAGTCTCTGCGTTTTGGTGGACAATGAACGACGAGAACATGGGGTTCAGGAACCAGTAAGGGGCATTCGGCGTGTCGTAGGGCACGTCCGAAAGACCCGTAGTAAGCTCTGCACCGGCAATAGAGTCGAGACGAGTGGCGTCGATGCCTTCACAAATGGACTGGTTCCAGTCTTCTTCCGACATGCGCATCATGTGAAGTTTCTGGACAATAAGATCCAGCTCCCTACGAGACTCGCGCTCCATGTAACCTGCGCCCATGATAGCTCCGCCGTTCATAGCGGCGGCCCGGAGACCACGCTTTCGGCGTTGCGCAGCGAGACTGCACATGAATGTGTTTGCTGCTGCGTAGTTGGCTTGGCCGAGGTTACCAATAACACAGTTGATAGAGGAGATTAGGAGGAAGAAGTCCAGGTCTGTGTTATAGAATACGCGGTCGAGGTAGATACTTCCTAGAACCTTCGGGCGTGTGACATCGATGAGTTCGGAGTATGACATATTACGAATCGACACGTCACGGAGAACCATGGCACCGTTCATTACTCCGACGATGGGTGGGAGACTTCTGCAGATCATCTGGTGGACAGACTTCAAAGCCATCTCGTTGGTGACATCGCTGCACAAGTTAGTAAACTGTTGTTAAAAATAAAATCAGGCCGTGGAACTTACCAAGGAAGAATTGTAACAGTCGCGCCTCTTTTCTTATGAGCCGCAATCCATTCTGCCTCAACCTTAGGGTTTCTGCTGGTAATAACGAGATTGCGTGCTCCAGCACTAATCATCCAGTCGCAAAGTGAGATACCTAAGGCACCAGCCATACCAACAATCCAGTATGTTGCGTTAGTACTCTTAAACATCGGCCTATTATCGAGGCGAGCGGCGTGAACAGGCAAGTTTGACACTGCGTTCCATTCCAACACCGACAGTGGATTAAGCAGTGCATCGCCTTCAGTGACATCGCGAAGGGTAATGGTTGCAACAGGTTGTGGTTCCTGCTTCTTAATAGTCTGATGGACATTCGCCACAGCGCGCTGAAGCAGATGGGCAACGATTGATGTGGTACCTTTGTTGTCATCTGAAGCAGTCGAAGCGAACAGGGTGCTGGCCGTCATTTTCTGGCAATCCTCTGGCAGGGTGGAGATCAACGTAGCCTCATTTTCCAGCACATATGCGTCTCCACCAGAGAGACCGATGAAAACAGATGGCTTCACAAGCAACAGTTCATCAAGGTCACGTCCACTGACATATTGGGGAAGCTGAATCCATGAATCTTCGCTTGAGTCCTTGGAGTCTGTGGTGTAGACGACATTCACGTCTTTTGCTGATGCTTCAGTCGAGATCGCTGCTGCGACTTGCTTTGAGACGTTGTGGGCAAGTAGTGTTTGTCCGCTGAACAACGAGCTAACAGCTGCTGACGCTAGGATTTGAGCAGCAGTAGCGGTGAGAATCACATCGTTGGAGACTCCAAGATCCTCAGTGGAAACAATTGATGCAACTGGAACCTTGAGAACGGAGGAGAGACGTGGGACAAGAGCGAGATACTGCTTGCACGTTTCAGGTTGAGTTCCAAGAACAAGGAACTTGTAACCTGCTGGAGTTTTCAGTGCTGACAATATCGCATGCGAAACATGAAGCTCAGTGAGTTCCTCACTGCTCTCATGCTCCTTGACTGAAAGTTCATAGTCAGACTGCTCCATGATCGTATAGCCGTTCTGTGTGTGCTGCACACTGACGGGCACTTGGCTAACATCTCTATCTTGTACAATCTGGCGACGCGCAGAATTGTAGCGATCGTTGAGCTTCGTAATTGGACGAAGACGCGCCACAAGCTGACGGTTCTCTTCATCGACAGCAATCTCAGGTTCGGTATACCACAAGAGCTCTTCGGTCTTCGACTTGTCGGCATGGAAGCGCAGAAGTATCTCAGCGACGGACTCAGGAGTCGTGTTTGAGACATCGGCAATGTCAAGCTGCTGGAGGCGCAGACCAGGGTTCTCGTGAGTGGCTACACGGCCAAATCCAACAGTCATGTTGGAGTATGGCTCATCATCGCGGCGGCCAGAGGTTACCCAGAGCAAGTTCTTGTCTGACTGGAACATGTTCTTGAACGCATCAAATGTGCTTGGTGTGACGTTCTTGAAGACTGGCTCGTCAAGCTCTGTAAAACTGGCCACTGTGGTGTCCTTGTCAATGATGTCGTGGTTCACATCCAAGAGCGACTTGTAGCAATAGACCTGCTCCGCATGTTCGCGGACAAGGGACTCAACACCCTTGACGAGATGTGCGCTTCTATCAGTCTGCCCACCAACGAGGACCAGCTTCTTGATCGGAGCTGCACGACGGGACGCAGTCAATGGTTGGCGGAAGTACTCAACCTCCTCGTCCATAGCCTGAGAAGCGAAGTGGAAAACATTCAGGACGTCTTCAAAGTCTTTACGAGGGCAAGAGTCAACGCCAGAGAAGCCAGTCTTTCTCAGCAATTCATCCCACTCTTGTGGAGACACATGAGGAGACAGGACACGGCCTGTATCGCTTCCGAGCCACCAGCCCTCTAGGGTACCGAAGATGAAGCCACTGCTGGCAACACCATTCATACCTTCCTGACCTTCGCCGACAACGAGGAAACCACCTGGCCTGAGCATCTTGCGGATATGGCGGAGGGCGCGTTCCAAATCACTCGTAGCGTGGATGACAAAGAAGGCAACAATCAAATCATAAGTACCCTCAACGAATCCTTGTGATACAGGGTCCCTTTCCGCATCGAAAGTCTTGAAGACCATGCGGTCTCGGTACTGAGGGAAGTTGGCGGCAGCATTCTCGAAGAAGGCAGCAGATATGTCGGTGTACGTGTAGGACTTGAAGCTGTTGTCGATCTCGCGGAAAATGGCCTTGGTAGCTCCACCAGTTCCAGCACCAATCTCCAGTATGTTCATGTGGGGGAAGCGGCTGGTCAGTTGCTTAACCGTTCTGCTCACCCATTGACCAGACTCCCTCAATCCAAAGCCACCAGCATAGTAGCGATCGAGGATATCGGTAGCACGGAACTGCTCCAGGATAGTAGTCTCGCCGTTGAATACACGTGGCATTTGCTGTCCGGTGATGTGCATAATTTCGATATCGGGGAGGTGCATGAAGGGCCTGCTAGCTTCCATGATATCCTCGAGGGTGTCTTGCAGCCACTCCTTCCGGGCCCACTTGTGCTGACCTGACTCTACCATCTCGGTAATGTATTTGGCATAGTTGAGGTACCACTTGGTTGTGAACTCCTGCCTCATAGGGTGGTCCGCAGGAACCTCCCTGTGAAACTTGCGCAAGTAAAAGGTGGCAATTCGTTCGAGCAGCCGGACGGTATCACGGTGGCTCTCAGTAAGAGGAATTTCTTTGCCAGCCTCGATACCATCCAGATGGCTATTGACCCAATGGACACGCGAGAAGACCCTGCGGTCCTCTTCGGTTGCTCCACCACCGAGGGGAATGAAAGTAGCTCCTTGGACTTGAATAACTGCATTCAAGCCATTTTCTGGGTAGATGTCGACATGACCCAAAATGCCCCGCTGCCCTGGCTGTCGAGGGGAGATGGTCGAATCCACAGGGAAGAACTCATCTTGGGTGCGGACGGCACCAAGAAGGCTGGGGTTGACTCGAATGTGCTTGATAGTGGTTGGCAGGTGCAGGCTACGAAGTTGCTCATCGTATGGGTAGCTGTACGCAAGAATGATGGATTGCAGGGCGGCGTCAAGCTCGGCAGGGTGGATGAGCAGAGAGCCGGTATCCTCCTCTGTGGACCGCATCTTCATGACACAGGTCGCTTGGTAATGCTTCCTTTGGAGTGCAGACAAGGAGCGGAAGGGACCACTGAACTCGTAGCCCAATTCCGCAAGTGCGGAATAGAATCTCTCTGGCTCGACGTCGATGACGTGAGTTGGAGCGGGCTTGCGAGCTGGGAGGAGAGTGGTAGACGCTTCTCCCAACTGGACCTCAAGGTTAGCACTTGCGACTAGTGTCAAGTCTTCGGCATTTGCGTCCATGGCAGCTGAATATGTGAACTTGGCCCAAACACGATCCTGCTTGTCGACTGTGATATCTGCGAGTGACGTAACGACCTCGATACCAGTGTCATCTGGACTGAAGAACAATGCTTGGTGAATCACAAAGTCCTTGACTTCTATGAGGCGGATGTTCTTGCCTGCAGCCTCAGCAACGAATCGCGAAGCCTCTAGTGCGGTAGTCAGGTAGCCTGCAGCGGGGAAGACAGTCTGAGACTGGACCTTGTGCCCCGAAACCCACTCCATCTGGCTCTCGAGAAGCAAGTTCCTCCAGCTCATGTGATGGGGTGCGGAATCCGTGGTCACATCGCCGAGCAGCGAATGGACAGGGTGTTGTCGCAGACGCATCTTGCGCGAGGTTCGTGATTCGTGCCAATACTTGTTCGTGTGATTCCACTGGTATGTCGGGAGTCCTTTGACTACGCTGAACTTATCGCCGTTACTCGTCATGCCACGCTCATAGGCATCAAGGGTGACACTGGTCTTGTCAAGATGCGACCACAAGAAACCAAATCCTGTAGCACTTGCTTCAATAGCGCAGGATCCACGCGCAAGAATTCCAGAGTATGGAATCTCCTTCTCCAGGGTATCTTGAATAGTCTGAGTCGCAGGACCCTTGAGCGCAGGAGAAGCTCCGACCTCCAGTGCAAGATCGAAATTGCCGGCTCCCAGAGCAGTGCTGAGCGCCTCGGCGAATAACACAGGTTTTGTCATATTCTCAGCCCAGTATGTATCAGCCAGCTCCATCGAAGAGTCGACGGGTTGGTTGTATACGCTAGAGATCCACATGCATGAGGAGCTGGGGGTCTGCACCTTGACGCCACATTGCCTAAGGGATGCAACGTAAGGCTCATAGCAGGGAAGCATGTGCTTTGAGTGGTATGCCTTGTCGACCTTGAGGCGCCTGTTGAACTTCTTTTCATCCTCGAGGATAAGTTGCAATTCGGATATCGCATCTTCATCTCCAGAAACAGTGACGCTGGTAGAAGAGTTGCTTGCAGCGACAGACAAACGTCCCTTAAAATCAAGATCATTGCACAGCTCAGTCATGTCTTCGAGAGAGCTGCCAACAGCAACCATAGCACCCTTGATATCAGCACCGTTAGGGCTACATGCGGCCTGGACGTGCAGGCCACGATAGTACGCGACATAGAGGGCATCGCGAGCGGTAAGATAACCAGACGCATAGGCAGCAGCGATTTCTCCAGAGGAGTGACCAACAGCTGCGTCAAAATGAACACCAGCCAGACCCAGCATGTCGATAAGGAGGATTTGTAGAGCAGTGCAGAGCGGCTGCGAGAGTTCGGCCTCGTTGACTCGCGACGAAGAGGCGGCCGCGAGGATCTCAGACTTTAGAGACCACTTTGGCCCGTCATGAAGTTTTGCAAGGTCTGCCTCTAGTCTTTCGATTATCTCTCTAGCAGTGGATGACTTCTCGATCAACTCAGCGCCCATGCGAGCATACTGAGCACCCTGGCCAGTGAAAATTCCAAGGATCTTAGCAGCCCCACTCTTGGTAGCAGAAGAAGATTTGATGCCAACACTGGTAGAATCACCCTCGAGCTTGGCTGAGATTTGATTTTGGAGATCCTGCAGAGAAGAAGCAGCAAAGTAGCACCTGTAGGGAAACAGGGAGCGGCGCTCTCGCAGTGTCCATGCCAAGTCTCGCATACTAGTCTCTGGGTGGCTTGACAGGTAATCCTTATATGCGGACAGGGTGGCACGAAGTGACTGATCAGAGAATGCTGAAAAGACAAAGGGCGTGAAGATGCCAGCATCCTCGCTGGAGCTCAGAGTAGAAGCGCTCGAGGGCTCGGTATAGTGCTCAAGAATGGCGTGAGCATTTGCGCCACCGAAACCGAAGCTGTTCACACTGGCTCTCCTGGGTGCGTCTGCAACGGAAGGCCATGCCTTTGGAGCTTTGAGAATTTCGAGGTTCTTGTAAAATGGAGCGACTCGCTCGCTCAGATTCTCGAATAAAAGGTTGGGTGGTATCGTGCCGTTGCGTAGAGAAAGCGAGGCCTTGAGGATGGCGGCCACACCTGCAGTGCCTTCGGTATGACCGAGGACTGTCTTGATAGATCCCACATACAGTGGGTTTCCACCATTGAGCTCAAGGCCTTTATCGCTAGCATCTCCACCCCAGAATGCTCTGTAGACGGCTTCGGCTTCTATGGGGTCACCAGCAGGCGTACCGGTGCCGTGAGCCTCAAAGTATTGTGGTCGGTCCTTTGCAGAGAGAAGGTCAAGGCCAGCCTTGGCATAGGTACTGCGAATAAGCGCCTCTTGTGCGACTGAGCTGGGCATCGTGATACCACCAGTGGCACCATCTTGGTTCAGGCCAGTCTCCCGGATGATACACTCAATGTGATCGCCGTCTGCCAAAGCAGCGCTAAGAGTCTTCAGGACGAGTGTCGCAACACCTTCTCCACGGGCATATCCATTTGCCCCTGAATCCCACATTCGACTGCGGCCGTCTGGGGACAACATCTTCAACTTGCTCTCGATGACGAAGTTCATGGGATCTAGGATAACATTAGATCCGCATGCTACAGCCATCCGAGAGTCACCAGCTCTCAGTGCCTCTGCAAGTATGATTAGCACGACTTCATTAATATTCTATCCAGGCGCTAGCACTTACGGACTGCCATGTGAACGGCAACTAAACTGGACGAGCAGGCCGTGTCAACAGTCACGGAAGGCCCATGCCAGTCGAAAAAGTAAGAAATCCTATTGGATAAGATACTTGATCCAGTACCGGTGGCATAGTAAGTCGGGATCTCTTGGAAGTCCCGAAGCAACATGCAGGCATAATCATTAAACATTACACCGACGTATACGGCCGTGTCGCTACCCTTCAAGGCAGCACTGGGCATACCAGCTGCCTCAAGGGCCTCGTAAGTTGTTTCCATTAACAACCGCTGCTGGGGGTCCATAGCTTTCGCTTCCGCAGCTTTAATTCCAAAAAACTCGGAGTCGAATGCAGCCAAGTCCTCATTGAGAAGATATGCATTCTTAACATTGCTGTGGCCAGGGTATGATCCATCAGAGTGGTAAAACGCGTCCGTATTAAAACGACTTTTAGGTATCTCCTGGAGTAGATCCTTGGGATCCTTCAAGACTTCCCAAAGCTTGGACGGGGAAGTGGCGTCTCCTGCAAAGCGGCAGGCACTGCCCACAATAGCAATCGGTTCGTTCTGTGTGGGAGCCATGGTATTTAATAGCTTGTGCTGGTGAACCCATTAGCATTAGATCATTTCTGTGTTCGGAATTCCGATTCCTCACCTGTCAATTCTCCGGTATAGTGTAGTGAGTGTGATAAATAACCAACTTGTGGAACGAAAAGCGTGCCTTTCTGGATGTGCTTGCTACAATGTCGAACAAACGAAGGTGCCCCTCTATAGACTGTTTTTAGGTGTCTTCTAGAATTACGAATCAAATTGGAATTTGGGAGAAGTTCTCGTCGCGGTCCTCACAAAGGAGTAGGCTGAATCTCGATGCGACACTGTTGAAAGTGGATAGTCGTGTAGACTTGATGCAAATCTCCACGAGGATAGTGAACCTGTTTAATACATCAAAAGATCTTGTGATAGTAACGCTACTACTTCCAACACTAAGCACTTCATTCCGCGAACTACACTAAGCTCCGACCGAATAATACAATATGCGACCGTGCATGGTCTTGAAAATCGTAGTTTGAGGGTGAAACGGGTCCGTCCGAGTTCGGACCGAATCACAGCCAGCCGAATCCGTATCCGATTGCAGGACACTAACGAACACCACCAATGCATTCCCAGGAGCCCAGCGACAACGAGGATGGCATTTGCCTGTTGGATCATCACTTGGCGCTCTCTAAGATGTCCCACGATCTGACATCCATACCGCTTTCTCCTAAAGCAGTATTCTCCTACGTTTAAGATCGCATGTGACCGGAACAGATGCTGACCTCTTCGGTGCACGTAACTAATTTAGTATTACGGTATTGAATCTTCAGTAACCTGTTCGATAGTGTCCCACTTTCATAATAATACCGCAGCATGATGTGCTGCTAACAAGCCGTGCGACAGGTTATGCGCGCTCCGATTGGATGTAATCGCCGGCCTAATCGGTCGGGGCCTCTGTCCAGTGGCTGGCGAACTCCTTTGCATCTCTTCCGGAAAGTCGTTGGAAGAATAATCCTCTCCTTTATCGAAAAAAAATCAGACAGCTCCATTCGTTCGTTAGGAGGTGAGAGTCTCAGTGCGCCATTTACTCATCATCTTTACGACACATCACGAACCCCTGCTCACCATGTCGACCGACCAAGTGCGTGAAGAAGGCTTGGAAGGCCATATTCCCTCTTCCAAAGAAGATGCACTGCAGGAAGATAGCTCCAACAGTAGCGCAACGCTACAGATTGAAGAAAGAGAAGCCGGGGCGCAGGATGATGAGAAGCAATATCCTGAGGGCCTAAAGTTGGGTCTCATCATATTGGCACTGTGCCTCGCGGTCTTTCTGCTGGCTCTTGAGTTCGTCTGCATTTGTCATAGGGAAAGTTATCACTAACATTTTTCCAAAGCAATTCTATCATCACAACCGCTATTCCAAAGATTACCGATGAGTTTCACAGCCTTGATGATGTTGGCTGGTATGGAAGCTGTAAGTAATCCGCACTCCATCAAGTAAGACGCCGCTCATTCCCACAATATAGCCTACCTTCTTACAACGGCCGCGCTGCAACTCCTCTTTGGAAAGTTTTATACGAACTGGAACATCAAATGGGTATTCCTAACATCCATTGCCATCTTTGAGATTGGTAGTGTGATTTGCGGTGCCGCACCCACCTCGACTGCTTTGATTATTGGCAGGGCAATTGCTGGCATTGGCTCTGCGGGGATATTTTCTGGCGCTCTTCTTATCCTGGGATACAGCACTCCCCTTGTCAAAAGGCCAACCTACATAGGCCTGGTTGGGGGTATGTATGGCATTGCATCTATCGCGGGTCCTCTACTAGGAGGTGTATTCACGGACAAGGTGGTATGTAATGGATCCTCCAGACTTTTGTATTCTACTCGCTAATATTATTCTAGACATGGAGACTGTGTTTCTATATCAACTTGCCCGTTGGAGCGATCACTGTGGTGGTTATTTTATTCTTCTTCAAGAGCCCAAAACAGGAGCTACCACACCATGACAGTATACACGATCTGATCATGTCCTTCGATCCCGTTGGAACAGCGCTTTTCCTACCTGCCATCATCGCTCTTCTGCTAGCACTGCAGTGGGGAGGTACCAAATACAGCTGGGGTAGTGGTCCTGTCGTTGGGCTCTTACTGGTGTTCGGATTCCTGATACTGGCTTTCTGCTATGTCCAATACAAGCAAAAGGACAATGCGACTGTGCCTTTCCGGATCATTTCCAATCGATCAATATGGACTGGATGCTGGTACGGCTTTTGCGCCGGTGCGACCTTCTTTCTCATGATGTACTACGTCCCCCTTTGGTTCCAAGCCGTACAGGGTACTTCGGCTGTTGGCTCAGGTGTCCACAACTTGCCTATGCTCATCACGACCATCCTAACGTCGATCTTCGCTGGCGGAATGGTCACCAAGGTTGGCTACTACACACCTTTTATGATCGTTGCAACGGTCCTCATGTCAATTGGGGCGGGCATGATCTCAACCTGGGAAGTCCACACCAGCAGCACAGCCTGGATAGGCTACCAGATTCTTTTTAGTCTAGGTTATGGCATGGGCTCTCGACAGCCTTTGGTGGCCGTTCAGGCAGCTTTAGACACAAAAGATGTGCCCATAGGAACATCTGCCGTTATGCTTCTCCAGACACTGGGTGGCGCTGTCTTTGTGAGCATCGCTCAGTCTGTGTTCTCCAATGAACTTGCTCAAGATATCCGCGAGCGCCTACCGTCGTTGAACCCAGCAATTGTCCTAAACGCAGGTGCGACCAATCTTCGCAACACACTGTCCAAGGATTTATTACCCGGTGTCATCTTAGCTTATAACAAGGCCTTGACAAAGACGTTTTTGGTTGCCGCATGCATGGCAGCTTTGTCAATTGTTGGCAGCTTGTTCATGCCGTGGAAGTCGGTAAAGACCGAACAGAAGCCAGCTGAGAACCAAGATGATCTGGAGGCGAACCAAGAAAAGGCGGTGGAGATTCAGGAGAAGCCAGAACATAAGGATTGAGTGCTTTCAACCTTACATGTACTGACGGACCAGCGAATACAAATCCGTCCCCCATCCATAGCACAATATCATAGGTGCTTATCCTTATAGAGCATCTCCAAATTGGACAATGCATTATTCCAAAATCCTCTTATAGTTTTAATAGGTAGCTTGAAGTTACAAATAAACCACATTTATTCATTCAGAAATACTTGAATTGATGACAGTACCGTCAGTCTTGCTTATACACGTGTGTATGTACGTATCATTCTAAACTTCCCTTCTTAAAATCTCTTCTGCGGCATGACGCGCAAAGCTCGAGACTCACAACAGTGCTTTTTTCCTGATTTGTGTATTCATATTAAATTGTGCGTGCTCCATCTGCAGAAGCTTTATCATTCTGCTTGCACAGATAAAACTGTCGGAAGGGACCCTCAAGTCACGTTCCAGGGTGCATGGAAAGGAAAACAAGGAGATCTTTTGGTATTTGACGATAACAAGGCTCCGGTTGCCCAACGCCGAACAATTCGTCTCTGTCATTAATTCTGCTGAATCTATTTGTGAGACTAACATGAAGTATCAGCATATTCCTTCTTTCAATATTCTATGAGTTACGATGTGATACTGCAACAGTACAGTAGACAGGTTTTGATCCGCCATTTGAGGGCAGATGGAGTATTGCAAGATTTCCAAAAAAACTGTATCTTTTGCTGTGGAAAAAATCTGGTTGTTATGCTCTTTCTTCAATGAATATGTGAAATGCACTTAATCCGAAGATTGGCATGTAGTTTATTGCACTTCATCATGCCCTCTTCTGTTCTCGATGGAAATCCCGTACAACAAGAAAAAGAGAAGAAGTGCCTTTGAAACGAAAAATTCATTCATTGCATACTTATACAAAATTAATATTTCTTGCTTCGGTAATACGTGTAAGAGATTGTAAATAATATCAGGGCATACTATGAACTGATTCTGACCACCAATTTCTGTCCACGCACCTCACCCCGATGCAACATCTCCAGCCCTTTAATTATCCCCTCCCACTTTCCAGGAACTTCCTTCACCGGGTGCGTCTTGATCAGACCAGCATCAACTAGCTTCTGCATTTCTGCGGCCACTCGCGCAGTCACATCAAACAACGTTTGGTTGGCCTCACGAGAATATGGTGTAGGCCCTAGATCAATCTTAACCCCCAAACCTTCGTATCCCATGACCTCTTTGGTGCGAATAGTTTGCCGTGTTCGGAAAGCTTCGTTAAATCCTTCAAGACAGGCGTATCTGCCACCTGTCCGTGCTATTGCTGCGAACGAATGTGCTGCTGATTCTTCGCTCGTGATGCAGTCTAGGACTTTCTTCACAGGCTTTCCGCCTGCTATCTCCTTGATAGACTGTACGCAGTTTGGAGATGTGTAGATAGCAGTACCGACTGCACCGTACTTGAGTGCCAGCGAGGCCGATGAAGTCGAGGTAACGGCAATAGGGGCGTATCCAGATAGCTTCAGGAGTTGGCATGCCATGGTTCCAGTAGCCGTAGCCCCACCATAGACCAAAATAGGCTCGTTGGTGCTGGTAGGGTTTGAAGGGGTTCCATCAAGCGCCAATGCTTCAGAATCGTAAAATGCAAGCCCGGCAGTGCCCCATCCAACGCCACCCAACGCGGCACCTTCCAAATCGCTCATATTGTCCGGCACTTTTAGAAGCAACTGAGAATCCACAGCAATCCATTGTGCAAATGCACCACTTTCGGCTTCGGTCCGGCTGTAGGGAAATGTACCCCCACTGACCCTTGTCCCAGGTGGAAAAGTGGTCTCTGTGCTGCCTGAAGCGATTTTTTCAATTATGCCGCAGAAGTCACAGCCACTTTGGTTACCAGGAACGGGAAAATGGGTAACCATTTTGTGGTCGGTGGGGTTTAAAGCGACAGCCAGTACGCGGATGAGCACCTGATTTGGCCTTGTGAGCTCAGGGATTTGGACTGTATTTGAAATCTTCAATCCAAGAGTTGAGCCCGACGGGGGAACCCCAGTTTGTATTAGTGCCGTCTGGGTTTCAGGGATGGCCATTTTGCGTTGTGATGACAAGGATCGGTCGTATAATGGTAACTTTTATAGATAAGTTCGATTTTCCTTTGCCTCGGGTGGCGTTCGTCCAAGCTTTTTTTCCAAGAAAAAGACGCAAGGATGTACGATGAAGGCGACTCAAACCTTGACCGGCTAATTTGGATTCGGATGTATGTCCGTGGAACAAAGGGCAAGGAAGAACACTAATACGGGAAACTCCTTTTTACGATTTTAGCCCACCAAATGGGTACCAGGGACTGAAGTTATAGACCTGCTCACGGAAGAGCCATCCGAAGGCTAATGTACATTCGGTTCACAATAAAACTTCGACAATACAACGGTTGTTTTACAATCCGTAGTACACTGAATAGGCAGGCAATCCCTGTTTTTACCATATATTACGGTTTAATATTCAGCATCATTTCGAGTTGCAACTATCTTCCCAGCGCATCATTCTAGGAGGTCCTTCCTCTTGCAGCGTCCTACATCATGCTTTACATCACATCAGAGCATGGTGAAATTCATGTGCAAAATCTACAATGCTCCCTAATTTCAGACACAACTCTGCTTTGAGTAAGTAAGTTTTAATAATTTCAAGTAAAGGTTATAGCTCCCCATACTATAGAGGGTGTCCAAACATCTACCACCTTACTAGTATTAGTATGGAGTTGTACTAAGCTGAAATGGCCAGACCAGCTCGAACAATGACAAGTCTCACCACCGCACGCAGCCATGAGAATATGATACAATACGAGGTACGAGCCGACATCTGCAGAGATCGAAGATCTCCGATTGGTAGATCCAGTCCGACGGACGCACGTTGTGATACGAATGGGACGATCTGACCCTAGTCGTCTACAGATTAGCTCTGACACGGTGCATGGCAATTCGGCGATACTTATGGCATAGCTCAGCCGCAACCATTTGATCGACAGATCGGAGATTGGCTGCTGCCCGGCCCTACCTGCAGGACGGACCCAGTTCACAATCGGCTGTCTCGGTATTATGGGCAAACGGCAGACGGTGTGGAAATAAGCACGGGGAAGGGAAAAAAACTGGGGTACTTTCGTTTTCGGAAGGTTTAGGATTCGGCTGAACAAGGATCAGGATCCCCACAGCTCTGCGGACAGAACTGGTCAATCCACACAACACATTGCAACGGCTGATTTTATCTACGATCAAGCCGGAACCGTGTCCAACGCCCTCACGATTATTACACCAACTTCATATCAATTCTTTTTTGTATCCTCGCGCTATATACAAATTTTCAATACATTCATCATGCCTTCAATGTCAAGCTTCTGGACGCAGACTTTCCCCCCAAAGCCGCAATACACCGACGCCAATGTCTCAGATCTTACGGGACACGTTTACATTGTTACAGGCTCTAACACTGGCATCGGAAAAGAGCTTGCTAGAATACTTTACGCGAAGAATGCCAAAGTCTACATTGCCGCACGTTCAGAGCAAAAGGCAGAGGCAGCCATAGAGGATATCGCAACGTCTGCACCAACATCAAAAGGGTCACTGATTTTTCTCAGCCTCGACCTCAGTGATCTCAACCATGTCAAAACAGCAGCAGAGAACTTCCTTGCTCGGGAACAAAAGCTCAATGTTCTCTTCAACAATGCGGGACTCATGGCGACAGACCCGCTCACTAGGACTGTCCAGGGCTATGAAATGGCTCTTGGGGTAAATTGTGTCGGTACCTTTCTCTTCACAAAACTGCTTACTCCAACGCTGGTCTCAACCGCCAAGACGGCGCCATCCGGCTCTGTCCGTGTCATCTGGCTGTCCTCGTTTGGTCTCGAGCTCTTTGCCAAACCGGCCGTTGGTATTTCCTTGGACAACCTTGATTATCATATCCCAACGGCGCCCACTGACCGATACGGTATTAGCAAATGTGGATCGTGGGCACAGGGCGTTGAGTTTGCCAGACGTCATAAGGGGGATGGAATCATCAGTCTCCCTATTAACCCCGGAAATCTTACCTCGGAGCTCGCAAGAGATCAGCCCGCTACATTGAAGATTGCCGCTCGTGTTCTGGGCTATCCGCCGCCCATGGGGGCTTGCACAGAGCTATGGGCAGGATTGTCCCCAGAGGTCACGTTGGAGAACTCTGGGAGTTGGGGTAAGCATCTCCCCAAGGCTTACTCATTTTTTCAGGGCGCTAACCCTTATAATAGTCGTTCCTTTTGGGAGATTCTACCCACTGCGTGCAGACATTGTTCAGGCGACCAAGACCGAGGCAGAAGGGGGCACTGGAGGATGTCAAAAGTTCTGGGAATGGTGCGAGGATCAAGTGAAGGATTATCTGTAGCCTTTTACCAGAGACGCCGCATAGGGTGGATAAGTGGCTCTGGAAATAAGTTTTAATTAGATGGTTCAGTAATGCCATTCATGTTAGATCATCACACAGATCACTCCCTTACATCCTCACATGCATATGACTTTGACCACGCAGAAACCAAATATGCACCAGAGCTCCATGGCCACGCCCAAACTGAGGATGAGTTATGCATGCTCCAATTCACGTGACAACTGGCAGTTTGATCGGAGATTTGCCCATCACAAATAGTAATGGCAATTACGTTGCGACACAAGGAGACCGACCTTTTGAGCGGTCTATCGATCTTATGCAAATCCCTATGGGGCTAGTCCACAAGTGCTGACCCTGAATGCGTTAGCCAGTGCACGGGGCCGTCTGATCGGAACCACGTATGATTGGGCATAAGGCCGAATGCCCGAGTGGACTCGTTTCACCGGTTCTTCGCATTCTCAGCGGGAATATGACTTTTGTTTTGGAAACTGCTAGCTAAAATCTCTTGTCATCCTTACACGGATGGTCAAGCCACAGCCCAGTGTAGAGGATCACAATAGGCGAAGCCAACAACGCCGCAATGATTACAGCAATACACGTTTTCGTATCCCAAGCACCATTGCAACAATGGGTTTCGTACATCTGGATAGCCTTGATTTCGGTCAGTTGAGAGCGAAAATGTTGCATTAAAGCACCTACGTGTTGATTCATGTGCATTGCTAACGAGACGTTTTCCTATCTCAACAGGCAGTACTCTACCAAATCGCAGCAATACTATATAATCTGTTTATACACCCTCTGAAAAGATTCCCTGGGCCTGTTGCGCATCGCGTTTCGCGGCTACCATGGGCGTACATGCATGCCCGTGGCCAGCAAGCATTCCGAACTGAACAGCTGCACGCCAAGTATGGTCCCGTCGTCCGCATCAGTCCAAACCACCTTTCCTTCACAGATCCTCAAGCATGGAAGGATATCTACGCATACCGCCCAGGAGGTGAGATGGCGAAAGCAGATCAAATCTTTCGACCGGTGAAGGGTGTGACGAGCTCGATTCTCAATGCAGATCATGAAGAGCACGCCAAGATTCGACGTGCTCTGGCACACGGATTCTCAGACGCCTCGATGCGTGCGCAGGAGCCGCTGATTGCAAATTACGTGAAGCTGCTGTTATCGAGGTTGAGAGATGAAGTTTCAGGTGGTAAGAGTGTACAGAATATTGCTGCGTGGTACAATTGGACCACTTTTGACTTGGTGAGCGACTTGGTGTTTGGAGAGTCCTTTCATTGCCTCGAGACGACTGGGTATCACCCATGGGTGGCCTATATTCTCAAAGCCGTCAAGTTTAATGCCATCATCCAAGCGCTGAGCTACAGTGGGCTTGGGATTGTGGTGCAAATGCTGCATGCCCTGGGCGGGTTTCTTGCACTTGGCAAGATTCAAGAGTACACCAACAGTATGCTGGTATCACGGCTCGGAATGGGCAAAGGCCGTAATGACCTCTTCGAGGGTCTTGCTAAACAACAAGAGCAACTCAATCTCTCATTTGAAAAGCTGAGCCGCAATGCTGTGGTCCTGCTCCTTGCGGGGTCGGAAACGACGGCCACAACACTTTCTGGAGCAACTTACTTCCTGCTTTCGCATCCACATGTCCTCCGTCGATTGACGGATGAGATCCGTTCCAGCTTCTCTAGTTCGGAGGAGATTACGATTGCTTCCGTTGGGAAGTGTTCTTATCTACTCGCGGTTCTTAATGAAACCTTGAGGTGCTATCCTCCGCTCACTGCTGGGGGAGTTCGGGTCGTGCCGGCTGGAGGTGCGAAAATCGCTGGACACTTCGTTCCTGAAGGAGTAAGTACTTTGAACCGAGGTTGTACCAGCTAACGTATCCAGACTCTCGTTGAGATCCAACACTGGTCCGTAAATCACAGCACAGACAACTGGAAAGACCCGTGGGTGTTCCGGCCGGAACGCTTCTTGTCAGGATCCAAAGACGCGGCTGAAAAATTCGATAAACTAGATGCCGTCCAAGCATTCAGCGTGGGTCCGCGCAATTGCATTGGCAGGAAGTACGTACTCCTCGTGGCTCGCACTTGTACCCTGTTCTGTAGTGGCCGAACGTCTGACAAGTACCTAGTCTCGCATACCAGGAAATGCGTCTCATCCTAGCTAACATCATTTACAACTTCGATTTAGACTTGGAGGACGATAGCCAAGGATGGATAGAGCGGCAAAAGACATTTAATGTGTGGGACCGGGGACCATTGAATGTAAGGATACGTCCTAATGCATAAGCTCAGCCCTCTTAGGTTTAGTTTTGGAAACTAGGTTCATGGTTCGGGGTATTCGGTTAAAATGGCTCAAGCTGTCTGAATCGACTGCTAAGACCCTGTTAATTTGTTCGCATATCTAGGAAGCACGGTAATGCCTGGACCAGGGATGTCAAAATCCCCGAAGTTCTGTAACACTGAAGAGCTTGGCAAATGTACCCATAGGTTTTAGAGACAACAGTAGTCTACTAGTTTATTGTGACGTTTCAGCACCCCGTGCAAACTAACTTGGAAAGCAATTACTAGTAGTTCCAACTACGCAACAATTGGGTAAGAGAGGGCAGTTCTGGTAGGGATTTGCATAGGAGTATAGGATTGGGGAAGATTTTCGTCTTAGTAGATTATTGGCAAGAGTTTAATCAAAATTAAAGGCCGGGCAATGGATGATCCCGCGTAACCACAACTATTTTATCAGCGTTGTGGATACTCGAGATGCCACAAGAAAGGCATCCGTAGGGAACACTATGTCGTGGCTCACTACACGACTGAGACCGCAGCAGCAAAGTGGGGGTATAATAAAGTGATAATAGTAGCCATGACTTTGGGCCTTGTTTCAAGTACATGCCCCTCCCTCAAGGCGCTATGTCCCATCAGGCGAGGTCCTAGCACATCAGACGATTCTGCAGAGTCAGAGGCAAGCACTTATCGCACAGCCACTCTACCAGAGACAGGTTTGTCTATAGTGGCGTAGCACGTAACTACTATAGTACTGAGCCAATATTGTTTGCATAGGACCAAATGCTTCTCCGATCCATAATGCCTGCTCTAAAAGGTCGTCGATGAAACTAAGACTGTGCAGCTGAGAGTCAGCAGCGTTTCACATCAGCTTCCAGGAAGTCTAATGAACATAAGTATGACCCACCTACGTGACATATTGATAAGGATTCGGGTACTGTTTCCTAGGGGTCTATTAAATAGCGCGGCCCGAATCTATCAGTACACTTATGTTATCTACACCTATAGTGATGTCGCATTGTTTGCAACAGGTAGGCATTGCGAAACGAGTAAGATAATTATTGGCCAGATGGGCTGGCTAGGAAGCCCCGGTTGCTAGCAGATGTCAGGTCTCCATTCGCAGTCGGCCACTGGATACAGCGAGGTACACGTTGGATGTTACGTTTCCTCAGGAGATGACGACGACTGTTCAGTTTTCCGAGTAGTGGCGGCACCTCCATTGTAGATCCAAAGTAGTACCAGTAGTGGATCCAGGGCTATGCGAATTAGAATCGAGTTTGACAAAGGGACGGCTCAGTCAGCCCGTCACGTGCAGGACTCAGCTCATCACGTGATTGAATCCGACTTCCAGCCCGGAGCAGTGCCTCAGAAAGTGCTGATGTCAGAGGAGCCGCATTTTGATCCAATTAGAGAAGCATAATACTTGGTCTGGTGGTTAAGTATTCAAGGTGGAGCACTGGCAGGGGTGCTGGTTAGTGCCCAGGGATGATTTTGTAACACCAATTACGTTAGAGGAATCTGCAAAGCCACACTCTTTATAAGCAGTTATATTGCTTTTAATTGGATAAAAGCTGTCTAAGCTTCGTATTAATAAACCAGCTTCAGCTAAGCTTGAAACCAAACCCCGGCCCGAATAGTGCTCCACCTCGAATACTTAACCACCAGACCATGTAGGGCCACTTGCGTAGCTTTAGGTGAGTGCGCTTGCATTAGCACTAAGTTGAATTAAGGGCTAGTAGGTCTCAAAGATCAATTCCCTAAAGCTCTAGTTTCACCGCCGTTTTCAGCCCTATTTTAAGGGGTAGCTTGGATCGAGCCGTATAACCCCGAAGTGGCAGCGGAAATGGAAGATACCCCAGTCTAGTTCACTTGTCCCACAGGAGCACTGAGCCCCTCCCCTCACCGGTGCTTACATGTCTTACGCCTGGCCACCTGGTTGCTGTGCACCCCTAGTTTCTGCGCGTCATCACGTTCTGCGAACCTTCCTTGCTAATGTCATCCCTGCTAGCCATGCACCTCATTGATTCTAGTAGGCGATGCTGAGTGACCAGGAGAGCGCGGTAAGTGATTATGACCGAGCCTAATGGCCTTTGCCGCGTGTTCGACATCCATCTTGTCGCAGAGATATGCCGTTGTCATGAAGATCATGATCTGCATACCTATGTCAGTCCACTTCAGCCTTTTGGCGGTGATTCTAAACAGAAACTATATTTGTCCTTCCCCCACATGCCGGATCTAGTCCCTGGACATATTGTACCGTCCAAAGTCAAGCAATTCAAAGACTTGTCAAGCCATTTCAATGCCTCCTCTTCCAACCTCTAAGCGATCAGCCTGTGATCGATGCCGCCTTCAGAAGCTCCGATGTCCGCCTAGTGTGGATGGCACAGAAACGTGCACCAGATGTAAACGACTCGGTGCACGATGCATTACCAGCTACCCAAGACGACCCAACGGTGCTCAGCAAACAACGCAGTCTCAAGGGCAACCAGAATTGAGACCAAAACTAGTCCATGGACTACAATTTCCCGCTTCGACGGTAGCCAGTACGCCTGCAATGTCGACACCGAGCACAATAGTCACAGCGCCGATGAACACATCAACGACATATCAACCAACCAGCTACGTCACCAATATGGATATTTCATATGACTCGCTGCCCTCTTCACTGGACGATGCTTCCGATCGCTTCTCGAGTCAAGCAGGGTCGCTTCGACTAGACAGCTGGGGCCTCTCGAATGACGATGCAATGTCAGGGTTCCTCACAAACGACAGCCCGTCTTTTCATTCTCCACCGACATTCGAAATAGACGGGAGTGGCAGTAGTGCCGACTTTCCAGACTCGTTTGGGCACATGCAGGTGGGATGCATGGACACTACTTCACACGGTCAGCACAGCCACATCTTGGAATGCAACGCTCGACTATGCAACCTGAATCTAGACCTTTCCAAGCGGCTGCAGGAGTGTCTTGGTACAACGCCGCAAGGGTCGCCGAGGCTATACAATGCGAAACCCGAGGACGGCAGCACAGGGGACCGTGATGGCATCAATACTACATTGGAGCGCGCCTTGGGCGACCTCTCCGAGTTTATCGCAGTCATCCGATCTTACGTGTCAACACGGAATGACTTCGACCGAGGAAACCCAACCGGAGAGCCTATAGGGCAAGGAGTTGGCTCTGGGCCTGGCATCAGTGCTACGCCAAAGATCAGTCTTGTCTTCCTGATCAACCTCCTCTCCGCATATCTCCAACTCGTAACCATCTACGACAAAATCTTCAGCCCGCACCGCACGCGGCTCTGCAGCACCGCGTCCCTGGAACCAAGCTGCACAAGCCCCAGCCAGCAGCCCCTGGACTTCCGGCTTCTTGGGCTCTCCGCCGCCCAGGGGACCCTGCAGACCAAGATCCTAATCCATGCTATACTGCACCAGTTCGATGTTATCGAGCGCATGCTAGGGCTGCCGGCCGATCTCCGGGTTACCGACACCCAGGACGTGTATCTAGGCCTTTTCGAAGACGAGCGCGCGAGGAGCTTGCTCGGCGCCGTAAGCAATGCCAAGCGCATTGAGACTAGCTGGGCCCAAGCCCAGTTCAATATGGAGGATTATGGTGGCGCAAATGCTCTGTCTGCGCTGAGAATGACGTTAAAAGTAATGCAGGGCTTTTTAGACACATGAGAGCACTGGCTGTTTCATCATGGCAGTATTATAACGCGCGTAGCGTTTCTAGAGCCGCATTTTGTAGGTGTAGAATTAAATTATAGTAATGTTTAGATAATAGCCTCGTGGCAATCAGCTGTGAGTAGCGGGAACAGCAAAGTATCTGCCGCAGAAAACATCTGAGATATAGGTCTTGAAAGCTTCTTGTACTTCTACATCAGCCAATCAAAATAAGTTTTATGAACAAGTTATCCTATCTGCTGAATGTATTGTTGGCGTTTCATAAAGATGATTGGGTAGCATTCGGATTCCAGAGATCGGAATTGACTTGGTACTTGCATGCAATATAGATGACGATATATTCCAGGGGTAGCCATGTCTGCATGCAGAGGATCCTGGACAAACCTGCAAGCATCATGTTCAATGATGACCTATTCACTCTACGGAGGTGACTGTCAAAAGTTCTTGCTAACAGGAACTTATTAAGTACTACTAAAAAATACTACTAAAGACTATAAATTATACCAAGTTTGTAAATAAGAGCTCTTAATAGAGTAACTTGGAGAAGGTATTAGCTACCAAAAGTTATACTTATACTAATACGCTGACTGCATAACGTGGTTCACAAGTGAGTCGCTAACCCAAGCGAGTCGCTAACGCCCCACCAGCCCATCAACTTCATCACTATAACGCGTGATGTCTCAACAACGCAACCGTCTATTAATATATTCTAAATCTAATCTTTAACTTGCTCTTTTTAACGTCTAGTCGCAACGTGTTTAGAGTGTAAACTGTGCTGCTACTATCTACAACATCCTACAAAGAACTCTATCTAATCAACGCGCTAGAAAGCGCCCTTAACGCGACTGCAAGCCGAAATTGAAGCGTCTAGATAAGCTAGAAGAGGAGGCTATAGTTAAGCGTATTCTTGAAGAGTCTGCGCGAGGATTTGCGCCTACAAAGCTTGACGTTCAAGTAATAGCTAATAAACTATTGGAGGAGCGTGGTGGCAACCCTGTTGGCAAGAACTAGGTTGACAACTTTGTTAAGCGGACTCCTGAGCTCCGTACGCGCTAGAGCCGTCCCTATGATCACCAGCGAGCCGCCTGCGAGGATCTAGTGGCTATCCAGCGCTGGTTCGACTTAGTCCAGGCGACAAGGCAGAAGTGGGGTATTGTGGACGATGATATCTACAACTTTAACGAGACTGGCTTTATAATAGGCAAGATTTTATCACAGTTAGTTATTATAGCATTAGAAGGATATAGGAAAAAGAAGCGGATACAGCTAGGCAACCGTGAGTGGGTTACTATAATCCAAGGCGTGGGCGCGTCGGGTCGCTAAATACCACTCTTCGTTGTCTTTGCGGGCAAGGTGCTTATTAACGTCTAGTTTAAGGATTTGCCTGCCAACTAGGTTCTTGAAGTCAGTCCTAATGGCTGGACGAATAATTAGCTTGGTCTTGCCTGGTTAGAGCACTTTGATACCCATACAAAGAGCTCTACTGTGGGTGGGTATCGACTGCTTATTATTAATAGCCATGAGAGCCACTGCTCTGTTAATTTCTAAGATCTTTGCAAGGAGAAGAATATTGTGCTTCTCTGCATGCCTGCGCACTCGTCTTACCTGTTGCAGCCCCTTGACGTCGCCTGCTTCTCGCCGTTGAAGCGCAAGTATGGCGACGCTATTTCAGGCTTAGCACGCAACCGCACCCACTATATCAGCAAAGAGACCTTCCTACTAGCCTTTAAGACTGCTTTTGAGCAGTCTATCACGAAGGAGAATATCCAAGCTGGCTTTAGAGGCGCTAGTCTAGTCCCACACGACCTATAGGCTGTGCTATCTAAGCTTGATGTGGTGGTGCAGACACCTGTACAATCACCGCAACAGGTAGCCGCCTAGCAGGCGCAGACACCACGCAACGCGCGCGAAGTTGAGTCTTAAATTAGTCTCATTTAAGAGAGCGTGAGAAAACGCTGTAGGTCTTCTGCCAATTCACTCACTAAGCAGATCGCGCAGCTAAGTAAGGGG